GTACTGGGGATCAAACTCAGGACAAACTCAGATGTGGTGCCACTGAGCTAAATCCCTGGCGCTTGGCTTTTTCTTTTTTTGAGACAGGGTCTTGCTATGCAGTTCAGGCTGCTCCTGAATTTACTGTGTAGCCCAGGCTGGCCTCGAAGACACAGTGATCCTCCCGCCTCAGCCTCTTGAGTAGTATGCCACGCCCAGCTTCATTTCACCTTTAATACCATGTGATGTTGTAAATTCAAGCTGTTTTCTATATTTATCAATAATGAAAGGACATTTTTTAAAAATATGTAGGTAGAGGTATTCTTATTTCCCCTTTTTTTTTGAGGCAGGGTCTCACTATGTAGTTGAGACTGACCTGGAACTCACTATGTAGCCCAGGCTGGTCTTGAACCCACAGCGATCCTCTTGCCTCAGCTGGGATTACAGGTGTGCACTATCACACCTGGCTTTTTTCTTTTATTTTTAAAGACAGGGTCTCACTATGTAGTTGAGGCTGGTCTGGAATTCACTGTGTAGCCCAGGCTGGCCTCAAACTCCTGGCGATCCTCCTGCCTCATCCTCACAAGTGCTAGGATTACAGGCATGCGCCACCACGCCCAGCTCATGTCTTTGTGGACTATGTGTTAAAACATCACCAATTCAATCCTTTTCTAATAGTCGTCTGTGCCGTGAATGCCCTTGCCCACCACGTGCTTCATAAGGACCTCGGGGACATCGTTGGCAACTTCCGAGGGTTCTACAGGGAGCTCACCAGTGATGGGCAGCTCCGGTGGGTAAGGATCTGTTTTATATGGAGCTTTTATACATGGTGCTACTAAGGCCTGAGATGTCCTCTGATTGCAGCACATGTGAAAATAGAGATGACTTTGTAATTTTAAAGTAAAACATTTCATTGAGATAAATTAGGGCTGGAGCCACTCTGATAATTGGTCTTTTGAAGTAGTCAGTTCCTTTCTGCAAGGGCTGAATCTGGATGTGTCTGCATCCGGGAGCTTTTAGGTCTTAGGTGCCTCCCTCCCCGCTCCCTAGATTGGGAAAAATTGCCTGAGCAGAAAGGGCTGAGCAGAAGCCTTTCGGGGAGGGAGAATGTGAGAAGTGTCACTGTCCCGGGAGGGGCCACAGAGGAGAAGAACCTGAGAACAGTGCTGAGAAGCCAGAGGACCGTGTGCGTTCCTCACGGGCATAGGCTGGTGTCTGAGCCCGGGGCAGAGCCTGCCAAGGCAAGGTTCAGAGGAAGGGTTCTAACACAGTGAGAGAGACCCAGTATTCTGGGCCCGGTCCTTGTCTCCTGCTACCAGGGTTGTCTTTTCCCCACTGTTCAGTCTCCCATCCTTGCACAGACGAGGGCACAAAGGAACGCGCGTTCTGATTACCTTGCGTTTTACTTTTGGCTTTCTGCAAAGCCAGTTCAGCTTTCCTTGAGAGAAGCTCCCACTGGCCAAATCTGGGACAACTGAAGCATCAGAATAAATATGAGAGGGCCGGCCGTGGTGGCGCACGCCTGTAATCCCAGCACTCGAGGCTGAGGCAGGAGAATCGCTGGGGGTTTGAGACCATCCTGGGCTACATAGTGAGTTCCAGGTCAGACTCAACTACATAGTGAGACCCTGTCTCAAAAAAAACAAAACAAAACAAAACAAATATGAGAAAGTGGTTTATCACAACCTGCTGGATGAAGTAACCCATGAGTCCATACATATCATAACAACAAGGGAAAGCTCATCAGTACAGTAGAATACAAAGTAATGAATAGTGATGCCAGGAAGTCCCCACCACAGCTATAGCTAATGGACGTGAGTCATCCATGGGTGCTAAAATCTGGGGGGACAGTTACCTCTTATTTAGAAAAGGAATCTGGTAACTTCACAGTGGAGACACTGAATGGACACGAATTTACCCAAGCCTTGCAATTTAATAATCCTAGTCATAGCACAACAACATCATTTACACAATATTTATGCCAAAAAATGTATAACTTGGGTCTAATTATGAAGGAACTCCAGGCAAGCCTGTGTTGAGGATTGCTAGACAAGTCACCTGACCTGTACTCTTCAAAAATGTCAATATTGCCAGGCATGGTGGCGCACGCCTATAATCCCAACACTCAGGAGGCTGAGGCAGGAGGATCACTGTGAGTTCAAGACCAGCTTGGGCTACATAGTGAGTTCCAGGGCAGTCTCAACTACATAGTGAGACCCTGTCTCAACACCCCCCGCTAAAATGTCAGTATCATTAGATTAAAGGAGAGTAAAGGGACATGATGACTAAATTCAATATGTGTTTTGTAGATTGGAAAGAGATCAAGATAATGTACTGTATGAGTGAGCTTTCCCATTGCCAGAACTAAATACCCAGTACCCACATCTATAGGAAGAGATGGTTTTGGGCTCACAGTTTCAGAGGATTCAGTCCATAGTTGGCTCCAAGGCAAGAACATCCCAGCAAAGTGGTGGGGAGCAGCCGAACTGCTTAGTTCATGGCATCTGGGAAGCAGCAGGGGATCAGCATAAGAGAGGGGAGAGACTAGGGATCAGGTGTAGTACCCGAGGGCGCACCTCCACGTCGCACCTGACACAGAAGTGTGCCTCACGGATCTCCTAGCCGGCTTCCAGGCCAGTCACGTGGACAGCTAAACTCATCACAAGTCCGTTAGGGGGATTGGTGATATGTGATCATGGGCCATTGTTTAGCTAATAGTATTTCATCAATACCATATCCTCTGAATATGATCGCAGTGCTGTGGTTATATAGGAGGATGTCCTTGTTTTTAGCGACTACACACCCAAGTATTTATGGGGAAAAGAGGATGCTATCTGCAGCTTTGCTCTCATATGACTCAGAAATAAAAATGGGAAGGCACTGGGAAGCAGGGATTCAGTGTTTTGCTTTGTTTTTCCTACTTTTGCAATTTCTTTTCTTTTCTTTTTTTTTTGTACCAGGGATTAAACTCGGGTCCTTGTGCTTGCGAGGCAGGCAGCGGAACCACTGAGCTAAATCCCCGGCCCTACCAACTTTTCTATAGGTTAGAAACTGTTCGTTTGTTTTTTTTAAGTTGACCTTTAGGTACATTGCCATTGCTGCCTCTTAATTCTTGCAGTGTGTCCCCGGCTAGACACTGAAAAAGAAGACCTGAGTATCTTTTTCAAGTCTAAGAAGTGACTTTGCTTCCCACCAGATTGGTCCAGAGAAAGGTGTGGTGCACCTGGCCACAGCAGCGATTCTGAATGCGGTGTGGGACCTGTGGGCAAAGCGAGAGGGAAAGGTAAGAATCCTGTCTGTGTCCCCGGCACCCCAGGACGCACAACTGTCGTTGTGAGCAGCACTCTGAAGGGCTCTCCAAAAGGAAACAAGTGGAGGCCTGGTTCTTCTCTCCCCTGAGAGGTCTTGGCACCACTTAGGAAAGTGCAGAGTGGGTGCAGAGGGCTGGAAGGGAAAAGCGGGGGACACCAAGGTGAAGGGTCCGGAGGCGCAGCCGGGTGGGCAGGCGGGGGCCCCCATGTCTGACGGCAGGAGTTTGCTGCTGGTGAGTTCACGAGTGGAATGAAAGCGGGTGCTTTGTACTCAGGGTTCACACAACCTGTTTTCTTCCAGCCTCTGTGGAAGCTACTTGTGGACATGGTGAGTAGATTCGTTCCCATCACAACTGCTTCTAATGAGATGGATTTCACGGGTTATTTGCCTTTTGATAATCAGTAACTGTACTCTGGACTGTCTGTGATCACTGACGATAAGGCAAGCTCCAGCCACAGGCATCCCTTCCGTGGTGAGCTGCGAAGTCACAGACCTGTGCTCAGAAGGGCGGGAGGCAGCAAGCTCAGGCCTCCCCTGTACACATGATGCAAGATAAGATGCGAATTCTCTGAGCCTCTGCCTTCCAGCGATGTAAGAGGAGTTCCAGCACCCCTGGGAGCACCCCAGAATGAAAGACCCAATGAAATAAACCCAGAAAAGCAAGATGTCACTCTCCAGACGTCCATCATCCAGTCACTGTGATGCCTGGAGCCAAACCAGATGGATTGAGGTGCTTCTGCTGTGTGGTGCCAACAGGACAGGACCTTGACATTGAATCCCAGAGACAAGTATTGGCTCTTTTCTTTCTCCCTGGCCTGTTTATAGCAGGGGGAAGTGCCTGGCCACTGAGCAGGAAACACTGTGGCTGAGTTAAAAGGGAGCAGAGTTCAGAGCCAAGCAGACCTGGCTTTGAGTCTGGACTTCACAGCTCATGACCGACGAGTGGCCTTGGGCCTGTTACTTACGTTGTGGGAGATGCTGGTGCCCTGGCCGTGCCTGCTGGGCCACACACAAAGGCTGCGTTGTTAATGGCACCACAATTAAGGAAAGGGCCTTGGGGACCATTGGGTTGGGAGGCCTTGCTCCTCCTCTGGGACAGATGAAGACAGGAGGCCGTCACATCTGCTCCTGGACACAGCTGAGGGTGGTGGTGGGTTGGTTGCAGGATGCCCTCCTGCCTGGCTTTGAGAGCCACTTCCTGTCCTTTGTGCTGAGCCGCTCCAGAACCACTCCCAGCCCCTCAAGGTCACAGAAGGTCACCCTGGGGGCAGAGCAGAGGCGGAGAGGGAACCCAGGTGTCACTGCTTGCTCGCCTTTTCCTGCGTATTCACACATCACACATGCCAGGTCCTCTGGGCAGGAAGCTGTGCGACAGAGCAGAGGGGCAGGGCAGGTGCCCTAGGGCTCGTCGGGGGCAGCGTGAGCCCCGGAAGGACTCCATGCCCAGCACTGACAGGCGATTTCTCTTCATGGCCCGGAAGCCCATGTGGTCCCTGTGGATCAGAGGGAGCAGCTTTTAAGCCCCCAATCTGCAGCATTGATCTGGCCCTTTCCCCTCCTCTCCTGCTGCCAGGACCCCAGGATGCTGTTATCCTGCATTGACTTCCGGTACATCACTGACGTCCTGACCGAGGAGGATGCCCTAGGTGAGGCAAGCTGGGCCGTGGAACCCGGAAGCTTTGGGGCAGTGAGGTGCACCCGGTAGCCGTCAACTCTGCCAGATAAAGGAGTGGTGACAGTTTTTGTTTATTTGTTTTTTTTTTTCAGAAATACTGCAGAATGGTCAAGTCGGTAAAAAAGAAAGAGGTGGGTTGTGAGGAGATTTCCTTTTTTTTGTTGTCAACTTTTGAGTGTCCCTGACCTCTGGGGTACACACTCTCCTAGATGCCTTGTACCAAGCAGCTGGACCCTCAGTCAGAGGCGTGGGTCCTGGTGAAGCTACCTGGGGTCACCTTGGCTGCAGGGTCATTTCCTCCACTGTTCCCAGGAAGCTGGGCTCTCGGGTTGCACTGTGGGGCACTCAGAGGGTGTCCTGGTCACCACGACACCCAGGGGCTGGACCAACGGTGTATGCATGTGACAGGCACCCAGCAGAAGAGCTGGAGCTACAGGCCGTTCTGATTCCAGAGTTCCTGGAAAGCACAAAATGCTGAGTGTTGCTGGACCTGGTGGCACACACCTATAATCTCATACTCTGGAGGCCGAGGCAGGAGGAGTACCTCAAGTTCAAGGCCAGCCTGGGCTACATAGTGAGTTCAGGGCCAGCCTGAACTACAGGGTCTCGCAAACCCTACTGGCCCCCTACCTCCCAAAAATCAACTCTCGTGTTTTCCAGAAGATCAAATGCTGACACAGGGCTACCCTGCCTACACCACGTCGTGCGCCTGGCTCGGGTACTCGGACGACTTGCTGAAGCAGGTGGGCTTTGCGGACAGGCTGAAGAAGGGACAGGAGACTGATGTCCATCCATGCTCACGCTGCTGGGATCGCACGTCCCTTCTGGCTCAGATGTGTGGGTTTCCCCAGCACCACCCAGCTCTCCAGGCTCTGGGGACAGCAGCGGGCATCCTAGCATTTCGCTCCATTCTGAACGCTGGCTGCTTGGAGACTGCAGGTTAAGGGTTCAGCTCACAGGGCGGGACACTTCAGACGCTGGGGGTGTAAGTCCAGGTTGTCACTTGGGCTTCTGAGCAACTGGCTAGAAAACGGCTTCCATCCACACTCCCTGGGTTTTTTTTGTTTTTTGGTTTTTTTTTTTTTTTTCCCGGGAGCAAAAATTTTTGTTTTTTGGTTTTTTTTTTTTTGTACCAGGGATCAAACTGGTGACCTTGTGCTTTCCAGGCAGGCGTGGTGCCGCTGAGCTAAATCTCCAGCCCAATACTCTCTGCAGTTTTACCCTGGAGTGGCTCCCCGAACTCGGGAACATTTACTTACAACAGTGGGTTACTGTCAGAGCTACAACTCAGGAGGAGCCACATGGGGGGTTGGGGCCTCCATCCTCTCTCTGGGAGCCCTGGACCCAGTCTTTGTGGGGCTTTTACTGGGCTTTCTTAAGTAGGAGGTTTGACAACATTGTGAACCATGGAAAATTAGCCTTCGGTCTTCTCCCCTCTGCAGAAGGCACGTAGCAGTCAGCACCTGGCTAATTTATAACTCTTTCCTGTCCTGTTGTTTTTATCTAGAGTTGAGAGAGAGAAAGAGACAGAGATGGAGTCACACAGCCTGGCTTCTGCTTGATATGCTTATATCCACTAGTTTTCTGGATGCCGCAGAAAATGCTAGGTTTAAAACCACAGACACAGCAGGGTGTGGGGGCGCATGCCTGTAAACCCAGAATCTAGGAGGCTGAGGCAGGAGGATCACTGAGAGTTCAAGGCCAGCCTGGGCTACACAGTGAGACCCTGTCTCAAAAAGACAAACAAATCCCCCCAAAACAGGAGCACTCACGTTACATACCCCTTCCGGGAATGTGACAGTGAAAGAAACGGTTCCCATGGAGGTGAGGGAGAAGGAGCGATGCTCTGTTGGCCGACACACGCTCGTTTCTCTGGTTTCTGCTATGACCGTAATGTGTGTGGAACCCAGATCAGACACACCTGAGTCCCACCCAGCCAGGGGAGCGGCGTGTTACGTATACTGTGCACGCGGTGACGGTGCGCTCTTCCCCACAGCTCTGCACGGCGGCCCTGGAGGACGGCTGGACCAGGTAAGTGATTGTGTGATGCTCAGCCTCCCCATGTAGCAGCACAAGGAGGGGAGCCAGGATTAAGTGGCAACAAAAAAGCCAGAGCCAGTCTGCCGCGTAGGTATGATGAGGTGTGATCAAAAGTACACTGAGTGCCTCTGCCCGGCACCATCCAGCAGAACGCAGGGCTGTGAAAACATTATAGGGGTCCTCATTGGCACATTCACTGGGTCTGGCACCGTGTGACTTCTGGCTCTTTCCCAAAGTCAAATGACCATGAAAGGGAAACGTTTTGAATCGATTCACTGAGGCAAGGATGAGAGTGCAACTAAAGACACCGGCGGAAGTCTTCCAGAATGGCTTCAGAAAATGGCGAGGTCGCCTGTAATGGCGCACGCCTGTAATCCTAGCACTCAGGAGGCTGAGGCAGGAGGATCACTCTGAGTTCCAGGTCAGTCTCAACTATAGTGAGACCCTGTCTCAGACCAACCCCCAAAAGAAAATGTCAGGAATGATGGGATAAATGTTCAAGGTGAGTGGGAGGATTTGTGAGGATTCAGAGCGATGCGTCTTTGACTATAATAATTTGTAATGTAAATATTCACCCTAGTTTTTATCACACCCCCTATGTTATTTGACACTGAGTCCCCCGGTGAGCTAGTGAGCAGAAATTTGTGCCCTGCACAGGAGGCCCCTCCTCCCCGTGACAGTGCCACACTCAGGGCAGTGAAACTGCTGAGGGCCGAGGCACGGGCAAGCGTGCATAGCAGCCACATCTCAGAGCACAGCTGGATGTGAAGCCCCAGTGGGCAGCTCCCTGCCACGGGCATGTGTGCTGGGAAGAGACTTCAGCAGGGGCCTCAGCTGCCCTCTGCTCTCCCTGGTACTCAACCAGGTCCCTTCTGCTGCAGCCTTGGGCCCCTGCACCCGGAACAGACAACTCTGTGGCCTTCCCCCTCTGGGCCCCCTTAAGACGGTCCCTCTGTGTGCCAGGCTGTGAGATAGAGATGGGTTATAAATGATTCTCTTTCCTTTCAGGGTGCAGCAGGGGACCCCGCATGCCCTGTCAGAACCACCGTCCTCTTCAGCTCTGCCTCTCGCCTCTGTTAATTCCTTTCTATGATAGCGGTCGAGGGCCCAGTTCATTGTACTAAAGTCCTCACCTCTGTCCCGGAGCCTCACCTGCAGGCTGCCGTGACCGAGGGTCACCGTCTGACAGTACAGTGCTGTCAGCAGGTTACATCAGTTGGGAAAGAGCCAGAGGTTCCTGGAAAATGCGGTCTGTGAGTTATTGAGAGAGACAGTCACTTCTGCAGGAAAGTCAGGCGTTTCTGCCAAGTCCAAGGACAGAGGGGCACAAGGTGAACAAATGTGTCTCTAGGTTCAAAGTGAAGGTCGGGGCTGACCTCGAGGATGACATACGCAGATGCCGCCTCATCAGAGCCATGATCGGACCTGAGAAGATTTTGGTAAGTTTCTTCTTACACCACTGGCAACCTGGCAGGAAGTCTTTTTCCAGGGCCAAAATACAGCTCCTTTCAGGGAGGATCTGAAAAACTTTGGGAGTTTTAAAAGTTATTGTCCAGTAAAGTGTGGCTCTGTGGTCTTGCAGTAGGTGAATGTATTTTTTAAAAAAAGACACATGGGGTCTAATACATTTTATTTTTTAATTCTGCGAGGTAGTTAAGTAAGATCAGGGTGGGGCTTGGGTCCTTCCTTGCTCACCCATTGGCGCCCTGGTGTGTCAGTCATTCATCCTCATCGGTTGCTCTTCAGGCGGGAGTTTCAGAGACACTGTTGAAGAAAGGTTGAAACTTTGGCTGAGACAAATGTGAGGATCAGCCGTTCTGGACCCCGACACTATTTTTGTGAAATGGGTCTCATGAAGTGTAAAATATTTTCATAAGAGAAAGCTGCAAGTGGGGCCTGGTGGTGCACACCTGTAATCCCACCACCTTGGGAGGCAGAAGCAGGAAGATTGCACATTCAAGTCCGACCTGGGCAACTTAGCCACTTAGCCAGACCCTGCCTCAAAATTTTAAAAAATTGAAAAGGGCGGAGGATGTAGCTCCATGCCAAAGTCCTGAGTCTAATCCCTACTACTGAGAAACAAAAAAGTTGTGGTCTGATGTATTTATGAGGTTTGAGAGGCTCCTTCATACGTTAAAATTCAAGTTTGGAGTCTTGATGTAGGACCATGAGTTAATGCTACTTTGTTTCCCTGCGGTCATTCTCTTCCAAGTGGCTGAGGACAGTCTTGCTCCTGAGTGTCCCGTCCTGTGGTTGTGAGAGTCCTGGGGACTCCTTTCCTTGTCTCTCGTGAGGTCCGTGATAGAGGGGATGGGAGCCCCCTTCTGAGGCTCTGCACACGAGGCAGGTTTGGGGCCTGAGGGCTCAAGACCTGCACTCTGCACTGCCCTGACTTCCGTTCTTGAGCAAGTTCCTTCTCTGCGGGTCCTTTTTTAATTTGCAAAATGGGCTAGTATGACTTTCCTCATGGAGTTCTTATAAGCCTTAGGAAATCTTTTTTTCTTTTCTTTTCTTTTTCTTTTGGTATGGGGGAATCAAACCCAGGACCCTGTGCTTGCAAGACAGGCAGCGGAACCACTGAGCCAAATGCTCAGCTCTCCTGCAAGCCTTAAATGGAACAAAACCCACCCAGTGCGTATGGGAGTGGGGGCTCCATTAATGGTAGCTGTTTGTTAATTAATGTGCCAGATGCCTGGTGGGCCACCTTTGACACAAGGCTGTTGAACAAACTTAGCATTAACTGTGTGATTCAGTATGTGATAAAATGGTCCCAACAGCCAACACTACAAGGCAGTGTGTCCGGGCAGCCGCTTCTGTTAGGACCATGGCTGGGTGTCAGCCATGGCCCCCCTCACCGGCAGGGCCCTCCTTGCAGATGATGGATGCCAACCAGCGCTGGGAGGTGCCCGAGGCGGTGGAACGGATGTCCCAGCTGGCCGAGTTCAAGCCGTTGTGGATCGAGGAGCCCACGTCTCCCGACGACATCCTGGGGCACGCTGCCATTTCCAAGGTAGGAAGACTGCGCTGCCCTGCTGTCCGGGCCACACAGCCTGGTCACAACAGACCCTGACAGCGCTTCACTTGCTCCCTTTCACATTTCCCCGCGAGGCGGCTGAAGCCATTGCAGTGTGCGACAGGTGAGGGGCTGCCGACCCGCCTCCTCTCACCACTGCATCTGCCTGTTGTGGGTGAAGGGAGTCACCAAAAGTCCCAAGGCTACGAGAACGTAGACTTTAATGGACGTGGTTCCCATGCTTGTAAGTGTAGAAATGTGACTGACTTTCCAATATAGATGGTCTCTGACTCACGATGGTTTAACGTAGCATTTTTCTACTTTATGGTGATACAACGGCGATGTGCATTCGGTAGAAAGCATACTTCATATGTTGAATGTGGCTTTTTCTGAGGCTAGCAATGTGCAGAACAACATTCTCTCTTGCAATGCTGGGTAGCAGCAGCTCCCAGTCAGCAGCAAGATCTCCAGGGAACAACCGAGACTTCGTCTGCAGGCTCCTGTGTGGCTCAGCTGCGATGTTTGGAGGTGTCACTGTACTTATTCACCCAGAATGGAGCAGAAAGCGTAGGTTTCACACCTCTAGACGACTCCAGAAAGATTTGCTGAGCCAACGTCAAAGCCAGGCTTCCCAAAGATAAGGCGTGGGGTGCACTCATCCTCCTTGGAGTTAGCTTCCCTCCCTCCTGGGTTCAGGAAGAATGTGACATGTCAGGAGCACCTGAGAAACCTCTTGCTGGGTGGGGAGGCTCCTATTGCTCGGGTTTGCAGCCCTGATCGACAAAGCCGCGTCAGCTGGTTAATTTGTAATTTGTTCAAGTCGGTGACTCCTAGGCTTTTGACCCTCATACCAAAGCAAGCTCTGTAAGAAGCCATGTTAGCCACGGGCTGAGGGATGAAGGTACAGTCAGGGAAGGGACTGGTTATGGAATTCAAGGACAGCCCAGTGTGGCCATCGCCACGTTCAGATACACCTGCTTCTGTCCACAGAGATGTCGTCTTCAGCCTTGTTACTCCTTGGGCTAGATCCAGCCACCCCTTTTCCCACGAGGGTGTGAGGTCGGAGGTTCAAAGGCTCTTTGTCCCCCGGCTCTCTCAGCAGATCAGCATCAGACCGACCTTTGGGCAGACACACTCCAGGAGCCTGAGCCTCAGGAATGTCCTCCTCAAGCCCCTTGAAGCTTTTCAGGAGAGGGAAAACTAGGTACATGGAACAGAGACCAGTGGGCTGTGAGCCGGGCCACTGAGTGCCCAGTACAGAGAAGAAAGCTCGTGGTGGAAGGGGTCTTATTGGCAGGGACTGGAAGGTGGCCTCATGGCCTGGGCTGGGGACCTGAGCTGACTGTAAGGAACACCAGGCTGCGGTGAGGGACACTGCTGGAGCCAACGGGCAACCACAGCCACCTTTACTGAAACAAGCCAGGCTGGGTGTGGTGGCGCACACCTGTGATCCCAGTGCTCAGGAGGCTGAGGCAGGAGGATTGTGGGAATTTGAGGCCAGCCTGGGCTACATGGTGAGACCCCGTCTCAAAAAGAAAAGAGAGAAGAAAAAAGAGAAAGAGAGAGAAACAAAAGCCAAACCTGCAAAAGCAGGTGTCTCTGAGCGTGCTGGCCCTCGTGCCTTAGGGTTCCCGGGGTTGCAGCACCCTGCTGAAGGCCTCTCCAGGCACCGAGCTGGCTGCCACTCACCTGGAGAGTCAGGGGAGGCTCTGAGGAAGGGACAGATGGGCCAAGGCGGGCACAGCTGCAGGGACAGTGGGGACAGCGCAGTGCAGGGCACAGGAGGAGGCGTCCCGGGGGCTCAGAGGGTGCTGCCCAACTGAAGTGGCCGCTGCAGGTCTCTGAAAGGACGGTGGCTATGCCATTGGCTGTGCATTGAAGCAGGGCCTGGAGTGTGGGCAGAGGAAACTGAGGCAGAGGTGGGGCGGGGCGGGGAGGCCACTGCTGTCACCTGGGAGAGGGCCGATGGAGGAACTGCTGTCCAGGAGGAAACTCAGTTCCCGGTCAGGGCCCCAAGTGCTGCCTTAAAATGGCTTTTCCTCCCTTCCCCCTCATTTTCTCTTCTGAGACAAAGAACCAAATGTCCTTAAATTAGAAACTTCAGGAAACATAAAATGCTAGTGTGAGAAGGTGTATCTGAGACCATCCGCTGAGACAGACTGAAAGCCAGGCATAGGGGGCCTCCTGTGCCCCACACCCACGTCCCCGTGTCCTGCTAGAGGTGGGACACCTGGGCCCTCAGTGATTTCACTGAGAAGCTGGTGTGAGTGATCCGGAGGTCTCCTCAGGCTCTGGGATCAGCCTAGGGGGCAAATCCCAGCTGAGCACTTTGCAGCTCTCTGACAGGGAGGCGTTCTTACGCTGTGTTCCCCTTCCCTCCTCTGCAAAATGAGGACACTGACGGCTCCTCTCCTGCCAGGTTGTGACTGGGCATCACTCACACGAGTGTTTTGCACAGTGCCTGACAGGCAGGGAGGGCTCCAAGTGAGTCTCCGAGAAAGGGAAGGAAACCAGGCAGGAACCAAAGATGTCTGAGGTGGACAACTGTGGGGTTGCAGCTGGTGGAGGCTGACAGGGTGACCTGGAGCCCAGGTGGCAGGTGAGGAATGTGGCTTTCCGGGCCAGGCAAGAGGACAGGTTCAGGTGAAGGTGACAGCACCTCACCCAGTCTGTTGCCCACAGTGTGGCAAGGGAGAAGGTCATGGATGTGACAGAGGCCTGAGAACATTCTAGAGTAACCACAGAAGGGGCTGTCAGGGACACAAGGGAACACAGGGAGTGGTTACTGCAAGAAACATTAAGCAGATGTTGACCACGAGTCCTCCGTAAGCCACCAAGCAGCCCATCGTGTGGATGCCTGAGCAGTCAGTCAGGTCACAGGGCAAGAAAGCTGAGTCCCTGCGAGGGCGCAGCCAATGGCAGCGTATGCAGCCCTGGCCTTGCTCAGAGGACACAAAGCCCCCGCCCTGGGCACCCTTCTGCCTGCCTTTGACCGTCACATAGCTCAGCGGCGGGGACTTTCCTCCTGGAGCAACACACAGTTTTAAACGTGAGAAGCTGCAGTTTAAAACCTAGGAAAATAACAGCAGGCTGCCTTCTCTCCTAGGCACTGGTCCCTTTAGGAATCGGTGTGGCCACAGGAGAACAGGTGAGTGACGTGTCCTCAGTGCCTCCACCCACCCGCCACTGATGGACGCACTTGAACACTGGCTGTCACTGGTTACGTTTTGAGCTGGGACATTTTTACTATCTTAGCACTCAGTGGTACATCAGTGAAGGCAGTCAAAAGTGGGTGGCTTTTCCTATCATTTACATAGCTCAGGTGGGGTTTTTTTCCGAAACATTGAATCAAAATCAACAAGGCAGCAAAGTAAAGGAGTCACAGGGGTGCAGTGGCGTAGCAAAGTCGGCTTCTAAACTGGGTCAGGTGGCGTCTGCCAAGGCTCTGTTCTGTCTCGCCACCGCTCATCACTGTCACATCTCATCCCGAGGCGTGGCTTCCCCGCCCACCACGGGTTCCTTACTGCAGGTCCGCCCCTGACTCACTCACACTGGCAGATGTGGAAGGAAGTGAGCCCCAGGTCCCCGCCTGCACTGCCAGGGCCACCTCCTGCCCCGTGAGAACCAAGGAGAAACAGCCTGGGTTCCCCGAGGCCACCCGTGGGTGACGGCTCCGCAGAATCAGCACAAGGCCACATTGAGATCCTGAAGGCCGATGCTGACTCTTCCGCTGGTGTCACTTTTATGTCTATTTCCAGTGTCACAATAGGGTGATATTTAAGCAACTCCTACAGGCGAACGCCGTGCAGTTTCTCCAGATTGACAGCTGCAGGCTGGGAAGTGTCAATGAAATCCTCTCCGTGTTACTGATGGCCAAAAAGTTTGGAAGTAAGGGCCTGCCTGGGGTCCCCCACTTCCTGTGGTCTTCGAAACTCCCTCGAGTCTGTACTTCACCATGCTGATTTTTCTGTCATTTTGCCCAGGAATCTTTAATGATTTTCTCCATGGGATCCTATTCCTAAATCTGAATGGTTCAATCGCCTGTGGGCTCTAACAGAACCGGCAGGGCTCTCTTCCTCACCTCTTCCTGCACTGCTCTTGGCATCAAGGAGAAATGTCTTCCTTCTAGTTCCTGTCTGTCCCCACGCTGGCGGCGTTGGCCTTTGCGAGCTGGTGCAGCACTTGATCATATTTGACTACATATCGGTCTCCGCGAGCCTGGACAACAGGTCAGTCTGTGTAACTCACGTGCTGCTTCCCTGGGGCCGCGCCCTGCTGCAAGGGCCTGAATGGCTCTAAGGGAGCCAGCTGCACACTGAACAGCCTGACACAGCCACTTTGTCGCATAAACAGTGCTGCTTTTGCTCTGACCCTCCATAGTCACTGCGAGGGCGGATTCGCACCCAGAGCTCCTCCTTCAGTTGGGCCTATTTTGTGCCTTCCTGGAGCCTTCCCTCCTCACATGTGCATTTTCCATTGCGTCTCCTCTTCCTAGTCTTCCACCAGCCGACACATCTTTATTTAGTTTCATCATCTCAGCAGCCCTGGGAACTTTATAATGGGGTAGTCTTCCTTCCAGGCATCTGCATGAATGGCTTTGTTTGCCTGCTTTCTTCTTCTTCTGTGTTGTTTTTGGAGACAAGGTCTTGCTAGGTAGTGCAGGCCAGCCTTGAACTCATTATGTAGCCCAGGCTGGCCTCAAATGCACAGTGATCCTCCTGCCTCAGCTTCCTGAGTGTTTGGATTACAGGCATGCACCGCCCACCCAGCTTCTTATGCCTTCTTGGCTCCTGGAGTTAAGTGTTGCAGAAAGCTCACTGCAGGTGTAGAGCAAGACCAGACATGCAGGGGAAAGGCAGACGCCAGATTCAGGCCCGAGAGGTGCGCTGTTTGGCATGGAGAGGGCATAGTTGTAATGGTTTCGTCTTCAGCTGGTGGCAAGGCAGTGGGCACTGCCTGCGTGTTATGCCACAGAATAAAGGTTAATTAAAGGCAAAGAAGGAACCTGGGCCACCTCAGACCTGGAGCTGCCACCGGTGGATTTCACCTGAGTCCAAACCTGTTGGAAGACAGAGGTTGGGACGAGATCATTGCTCTCTTCCCCTCCCAGTGAATATGTAGACCCTAGAATGAAGAAGAGCTTAGATCATTTGGCTCTTGCCCAGTTCCTCCTTCAGGATCACAGGATGTTTTGACCAACTGGGAAAAACCCTGCAGGTTTTGGGGAGGAGAGGGTCACCCAGAGCGCGAGTGCCTCCATGGGACTTGCTGCTCCTGAAGGCCTCCCTGCAGGTAAATCCGCCACCAGACACTGCCCTGTGCGCTGTCATCCTCTTCGGGGGACACATTCCTCCTCTTCTCGAGGCCCCACTGTCCTCTCCCCTGCAGCCGGGTCTCCCGCACCCTGATCTTCACAGATGACATCGCAGTCAGCGGCTCAGTGCCTGTGCCCAAGGAAACCATGTGACGCACTCTCGTCCAACTTTGTGCAACCCCAGCACCCGGGCAGCACGCGGCCCGCCTGTCTTTGTGCCGGGAGGGAACCTCGTGGGGTGATTCACTCAGCACAAGACCTTGAGCCGCAGCAGACTGGGTGGCTCACTGTGCCACGGCTCCGGGGCAGAGGCCCTGCGTGCTGCTCCCTCACATCAGTGGCTAGCCGCTCGGGCCACTCCCTTCGGGGGCTGTTGCCTCAGCCCTGTCCCTTCCCCTAGGATGTGTGAATACGTGGACCACCTGCACGAACATTTCAAGTATCCTGTGCAAATCAAGCAGGCCTCCTACGTGCCGCCCAAGGTGAGTCAGGCGGGACGCCTCGCAGGCATGCTTGCACTTTTAGGCGATCAGGAATACATATGTGGTTTTATTCCGGGTGTCATCAGCACTGCTCAACTGATTCTTTTTACTAGGATGCAGGCTACTCATCGGAAATGAAGGAGGACTCCGTAAGGAAACACCAGTATCCAGATGGCGAAGTCTGGCAGAAACTCCTTGCTGCTCAAGAAAATTAAGCATTCAGGCCTATTACTCCTGTTTAAAGTAGTGCTACCCACTACCTTTGTTTTAAAATTTCCTGGCTAGTTTTATAGAAATAGAAGTGGGGAAAAAAAACAAAACAAAAAAATAAACATCCCATCAATCAAGTTCAGCTGAATGTCCTCTTAACCTCAGGAACCAGCTTCGTCATCAATTCTTTTAACAAATCGATACATACTCTGCTTAATCCCTAAACAAATTTAAGATTCACCTAGCCCCGAGTCCAGGAAGATGTTCTTAACAAAATTTCTACCAAGGGCTTGTACTGGGACATTAAATTACTTGGAAAATCAGCAACACGTTGCAGGATTTGTTAAATTAACACTTCTCATAAATTAGCAGAATAAAAAGTTCTGGGGAGCTGGTATTTGAAGGCAAAAAAGCCACCTCTGAGCCTGGAAGTGGTTCAGCATCCCTTTCCTTAACCGTTCTAAGCTTGTTAGAGAAATCACACCACATGGGAACAAATGGTATTTATCACCCTTAAAAACCTTTCCCTAAATGCTCATTATATTTAATGATAAAAGGCAAGTAGGAGATGAGTCATGAAAAAATAGGGTGAAATATTGCAGTGAGTTTTTTGGGGTTTTTTTGAGACGGTCTCACTATGTAATTGAGACTGACCTGGAACTATGTAGCTCAGGCTGGTTTCGAACTCACAGCAATCCTCCTGCCTCAGTCTCCTGAGTGCTGGGATTACAGGTGTGCACCGAGCCTGGCTAGCACTTCTAATACATACACAAGCGCTGTACGCACAGCAGTCAAACAGGAACACAGCAGGTCACTTGGGTGACTATGCTAGGCAGGAACTGAGCCAATACACAGCAGCAGAGGAAGAAACATGGATAGATGCAAACTAATCCTTTATTACAGGAAGACATAAAACAAACCTAACTGTGAATGTCTACAAGCAAATGACACATTCTGACTGGTGGTGTTTCAGATTTGAGGGAAGAGCTTATATAATTAAATTCACCTTCATCACGTACAAGTGAAATGTATACTTGCTTTTGCTAAGAACATAAGACTTTCACTGTTGTTACTTTATTCATAATAGCATTTTTGTGCACTTGTTGACTAATGATCTTTTGTTACTAAAGAAACAGCACCTCTTACCCGCCAGTGACAGTATCTTCAAAAGTTAATGAGTAACAACTGACAGGTCACCGACAGTTTTTGACCTACTTTTTTGCTTTACAAACAGAAATACTCAGACTCAAGCTCTAAACAGGGACACTTCCTTCCAGCACCGCTGAAAGCCTTCTAAACAGCCATTTCCATCTTAATAGCAGGATGCGGGTTGTACCCTTCCAGCTCAAAGTCTTCTGCTGTGAAGTCATCAATTGTCTCCACTGTTCGAAGGATTCTGAGCTTTGGGAAAGGTCTTGGTTCTCGCTGAAGCTGAAAACAAAAGTAGGCCATTGTTCTGTGTAACCTGCTTTACTTCTGCCCCGAGTCCCTTCAGAAAACAAGCAGAGTATTTATGAACCAGGTAGTGGCCTGCCCCGGTCTGCCCCACTGCTGGGACGTAACCACCTGGCCTTCCTGTGCAGGTAAGAGTGGAGGGTGTCGGTGACGTTACACGGCATCGGGCCCGGCGGCTCATCAGGCCTATGCCCTTTTTTTCTATTTTGTTGAGACAGGGCCTCACTATGTAGCCCAGGCAGGCGCGGCACCGCTGAGCTACATCCCCAGCTCAGGCTTACATTCTTAGACAGTAACTCCTGGCAAATTTATTAAAGACCAGGACATAGGCTTTTTTTCCTTTCCTTTTTATTTTTTTTCCACACAGGTCTAACTATGTAGTTCAGTCTGGCCTCAAATTCACAGCGATCCTCTTGCCTCCGCCTCCCCAAAGCTAGGATTACAGGCGTGCGCCGCCACACCCAGCTTCCTTTTCTGTTGTAACTCGACAGCCCCATTACAGTATGGCTTTCTGAATTCCATAATCCCTGCCCCCACGGTGGATGGGCATGGTCAACGATTCCCAGGAAGGGATGTGAGCCAGGATTCAGGGATGAGCACAGAGCACCAGCGAGGGTGCGGCCCGGGACAGGCCCTCCTGCCACGGCATCCAACACGCCAGGAAGGGACAGGCAGAACAGCAGCCGAACAAGCTGAAGCCCGTCTACTTCAGAGAGGCCGAGCTCTCAAAAGGCGTCACTCACAGGTCTGATGTGGAAGGCACACAAAGGTTTCTGGGTCTTTATTTTTTCCCTTGGGGCTCATGAAGCACAGCTGTTCCTATTTTTCCCGCTACTTCAAATCTAGCGTGGAAAGGATTCAGACAGACAGGCTGTTGAAGCTCAGGCCTATGTAGTCTATTAGCATAAAATCAAGGGATGCTATCTGCATTTCATTTCTCCTTCAAGTAAAAGTGTAAGTTAAAATGCCAACCCAAGGGAGGTCTCAAGTGGCCGGGCCCGAACGTGCCCTTCCTTCCTGGTACTGGTGCTCAGTCCCTCACAGCACCTGTCATATTAAGTGCCTGTGGCTGCCGAAGCAGGTGCTGGCTTCATCCCCGGCCAGCGGAAGCCCCGCAGGTGGAGAGGCCTCTGGATCTCAGACGCACTGCCACGCGGAGTGACTGTGACCCAAGGGATGGCGTCCAAATCAACCCTTTGGCTGACAGAGGTACCATCCTCAGAAGAGGAGAACAGATCTAACCCTTACCTGAGTTTTCAGCGGCTCAATGTGATTCAGGTAAATATGTGCATCTCCCAAAGTGTGTACGAAGTCACCTGGCTAAATAAATGGCACGGGAGATGAAACAATGTATTAGTTTTGATCCCCTTCCCTTTTTGGATACAGAGTCTCACTATGCAATTTTTTTTTTCTGTACTGGGAATCAAACTCAGGACCTTGCGCTTGACAGGCAGGTGTGGCACTAGCTAAACTACACTCCCCACCCCATCATTATGCAGTTCAGGCTGACAGTGAACTCACTATGTAGCCCAGGCAGACCTTGAACTCACAGAGATTCTCCTGCCTCTGCCTCCTAGATGCTGGAATTATAGGTGTGTGCCACCATGCCCAGCTTTAATCTCAATTCTTTTAGAGCATATCATAATGTATGAAAACACAAGACTTTTCAAGAGAATGATTTAACCAGTGTTGCTTTTAAGAAAAGTTAACTAAGGGGCGGGGGATTTAGCTCAATGGTTTCGCCACCTGCCTTGCAAATGCAAGGTCCCTGATACCAAATTAAAAAAGGTTAGAACACTAGAACGGCTCAAGCTACTCGGCGTGCAGCTCACCTGCAGGCCAGTGATGTGAGCGACCATGTAGGTAAGCAGGGCGTAGCTGGCGATGTTGAAGGGCACGCCCAGGCCCATGTCCCCGGAGCGCTGGTACAGCTGGCAGGACAGCTCCCCGTTCACCACATAGAATTGGCAGAGGGCGTGGCAGGGAGGCAGCGCCATCAGAGGGAGATCTGAGGAAGTGCAACTATGAGCAAGACAGAGGGAGGTAGAGCCCTGGGAAGGGCGGGCGCCAGCTGCAGTGCTGCCCACGACCCACACCCTGCACCCAGCCAGGCTGTGCCCACCCTTGAGCAGAGCCCCAAAACTGACGGGGCCATCGTCAGCCTCCCACCCAAGACTTCCACGGATGTATGGGGACAGAACAACGCTCCTCCGTCCGAGCTGGAATCGGGTTTGTCACCTGTGGCACCAAAGAGAGGAACTGTTTCACTCCGGAAACTGGCATCCCAGGGCCGCTCCCATGCTAAAATCTCTTACAGAGGCAATGCCCACCGTGGGGACTTAGTACCCCCAGGAGGGTTTGTCCTACAACACAGTTGTTAAGAACGAGCCAGGCATGGTGGCCCATGTTCGTACTGCCAGCACCAAGGGAGACCGAGATAGGAAGACCCCAAGTTCAAACCCAACCTAGACAACCTAGCAAGATGTACGTCGACATAAAAAATAAAAAGAGCTGAGGATGTAGCTCCATGGTAGAGGCCCTTTGGGTTTGATCTCCGGTTCCACCAAAAAACAGCGATCCTCCTGCCTCAGCTTCCTGAGTGCTGGGATGACAGGAGCACACCACCACGCCTGGCTTAAAAGGTTAACCTTGTGGGTGTGAATCCTCCTAGGCATTTATTTTTTTTTGTAGCAGGGATTGAACTCGGTCCTTGCGCTTGCAAGGCAGGCCACCGAACCACTGGGCTAAATCCCCGGCCCATCCTCCTAGGCATTTAATGAGTATAAATGCACAGGCTGGGACCACCTGGGTCCAACCACAGTCTGAAGGTAAGAAAGAAGCCAAGTGTGACTGAGGTAGGGCACACCCCGAGCTGGCTTCCCTGCGGTGCCCGGGCAGCTCGCGGCTCGGTGTCCCCTCTCTGCTAGCTGTGTGGAGGGGCTGCGTCCCACCTTTCGGGTTCCAGGCACACATGATGATTCTCCTGTCATCAGGGTTGGTTTTGATGGTGTCGATCACTTTCTGCAGCTGGTCCACTCCTTGACCCGAGTAATCTGCAGGGTTGACAGACAGGACCACGTACACACAGGAAGCACAGTATCTCACGACAAAGTCCCCAGGCCACTGTGAACAGCGCCACAGTGCGCTCTGCGCTCCGCAGACCCCAGGGCTGGAGTGCAAGGCCCTGCTTGAGGCCCCGGGTCTGCAGCCTGGCGCCAGTTCTTTGAACAGGTCGTCGCAGTGTCCCTCCCCTCCAGCATCCCCCTAGCGCTAACTGACGCGGCTCGGATGGGCTTGGAATGAGTCTCCAAGGGCTCTGGGAGGTGACGAGGATGAGGTCACGAGGGTAGAGGTCCCATGATGGGAACTGGTGGCTTTACAGGAGAGGGACCGAAGAGACGTGTGTGGGTGCTTCTCGTCTTACTGCCATGTGATGCCCGGGTCACCTCAGGGCTGTGCTGGCAGCATGGCCCTCACCAGATGCGGGCCCTTACAGCTCCAGAGCTGAGCGCTAAATGAACTTCTCTCCTTCCCAAAGGGACCCCTTTTCCCGGGTGTACCGCGGTAAGGAGAAGCAGTCTCAGCTGTCTCACACGGACTCCAGCTCTACACCAGCCGCCACGCTCGTCACCAGCACAACCTAGCTCACCCTCGTTCCACACAGGAAGTGCCGGGCCCTACACAGAATTAGGGTTCCTGGGCCGGAGATGTAGCTCGGCAGTGCAGTGCCGGCCTGGTAAGCGTAAGGCCCTGAGTTTGGTTCCCGGTACCAAAAAAGGGGCAGAATTAGGACTCGTTCCACAGTCCTGGTTACAGGGGACTCTGGGTTCCTTCCCTAAACCTCGGCACCCTCCTACCCTGACGCCAGTGAGCAGCGAAACACACCACACAAGTCAACAATGACACAGCGGCCTTCCTCCAGGCTTGGGGTGCGGACTTCTGACACCCGGGCCGCCTGCAGAGCTGGGACCGGAGGCTGAGAACGCTCTCCTGGGGGTAACCTTCCCCAGCCCGGCCGTTCTCACTTTCTAGGGGCAAAGTCCCCTCACAATCATAGGGCCAGAAAAGGAGACAGAAAGGTTTTAGAAGAACCGTGGTGGAAGGACATTCTGCACCTCGCTGGTAGTGCTGATCCCACAGATCTGCCGCTGTGCTAGAAACCGACGAGTGCGGAGAACCTGCTGAGCACTGCGGGGTGCAGCGGCTCGGGGAGGGGAGGAAAGGAGAGGAGAGGGGAGGAGAGGGGAGGAGAGGGTTTCCTAGGTTTGCTGCTTAACAGTAATGTAGCCTGGACAAGTTCCTTCTCATCAGTGGCCCTCAGCTTTCTCATCTATAAAATAAAAATGGCAAAAACACGCAGCAATTTACAGGATCCAGTTAGAGACTGAAGATCCAGAATCCAACAGGTGATAAGTCCTCTAAAACATCTGTTATTACTAGTAGCTCTCTTCTAGTCTAAATCAGTGCTCTTTTTTACCTTGATTCAGTAAA